AGCCAGTTCGCGTTCAGCCCAGACGAAAGTTGGTTACGACTGATCTCCTGTCAGCGGCCTCAGACTGGGAAACTGCTTGTTGACTCAGTTAGTGCAAAGATTTCTTTCCCTAGCTGTGTTGCACTTACCACCCTAAGACCAGAATGATATAGTTCTGTACTCTACGAGTCGTAGGATTGTATTCTGGATGGAGTTGACAGTTTGTGCTGAGGACAGATTCAGTGTCAGTAACTCGCGGAAGGACAGGCGATATGCGGATCTGGCCGATCAATGCCGAGCAAACGGGTGGCAGGTCGTTTCTTTTTCGGTTGAGGTAGGTGTGGCGTGGTTTCATCCCGGACTCTCTTCGGAGGGCTCTGAAAGCGCTTGGGTTTTCTAATCGAAGAATAAAATTTATTTGTAATTTGTGCAGGAAGACGTCTCTGCGAAGCAGCTACATCATCTGGTTGCGACGTCAACAAAAACACTGGTCGGAAGATCCACTTTTCTGAGGTACTGTATGTGGGGCTCCGTTTATTGAGGTGCGTTGAAATTTATTCTCTTTATCTTATTATTCCTTTTCTATAATTTCCCCATATGAGTTCCTATCAGTTGCTGTGAACACCTTGAGTGGAGAGCGCTTGCTCGAGCGTTGAACCGGGTTCTTAATCCATCATACCCAGTTCGCAAGGCTGGGCGGGGTTGTGAGCAGGCTTTCATTTCATCTTTTCTTATTATTTCTGCTTTTCATCTCGTTACAAAAATTCTGCGCATTTTTTCTCCATCTGCGCCATAAAATCTAGACTGACAACCTGCTTGTTAAATCATGCACCTGCTTTCAGGCGTAAAACCCTGTTGTAGAGGTCTCAGTCCTCATTTGTTAGACTTACCTGTCTTTATGAATGTAACTTACTCTCTCTCTCTCTCTCTCTCTCGCTCCCTCCCTCCCGCCATCTCTCTCTCTCTCTCTCTCTCTCTCTCTCTCGCTCTCTCTCTCTCTCTCTCTCTCTCTCTCTCTCTCTCTCTCTCTCTCTCTCTCTCTCTCTCTCTCTTTCTCTCTCGCTCTCGCTCTCTCTCTCACTCACTCTGTGTCAACCTCACAGCGGCTCCTGGATCATGTAGATGCGCGGAGTACGCGTAATCCCCGCGGGCATGGGCACTGGCCTGTCCTGTTGAGCCAGTACATGTACCACTATGCATGCTTGATAGCCAGTACCACTATGCATGCTTGATAGCCAGTACCACTATGCATGCTTGAAACAAGACTTAGTATGACCATGGATATTGTGATATTATTACAGGACATCAGCAAGTCGAATTCCGTATAAATTATCATGACTGATAGTCGAATCAGTGTACCATGGTGTACCAATGGGTACCTCTGCACAGCTCACGCTTCTTTCAAGCTGGGAAGACACCGGTGCACCTGTTCTAGCTAGTACCGTCGTATTTTACTACACGCGTACAATATGAATAATTATGTGACATAGCTAGAACAGGTGGCTTCCCCGGTTGAAGTTCTCTGACTGACAGTCAAGTCAGTGTACCAAGATGTACCATGGTGTACTTCTGCGCGGTTGAAGTTCCCAGCTTGAACGCAGCGTGAGCTGTGCAGACTACAGAGGTACACCATGGCACATCTTGGTACACTGACTCGGCTGTCAGCCTGTCAGTCATGACAGTTGACAGTCATGATGTCAATGATTATGTCAAGCATGCATACAAAAAAAGTACGGAGTCAGTCAGTCATTGTACTTCATCACAAGACTTGTAGATCTACACTCAAGTCTTGTAATGAAGTGCACAGACTCATTATCAGAGGCATGCATGCCGTGCACACAATAATTTTGTAGTCTCTTTCACAGTCATCATAACTATACGTCCTAGAATCGAGCGCTGGGCGTATAAATAGCTATCTTTGGTAGGGGATTATTGAACTCGTGAAGTCCAGAGAATTTACGGCGGTTCCTTGTTTTGCTCTTCAGTTATGTGGACGCCCAGCATCCCCCTGCTCTGTGCGGTGGTCTTGGGGATGATGCCGCTGGCATGCCACGCCGAACTCCCGCATATCGTGTTTATGCTGGTGGACGATTGGGGATGGGCGAACGTAGGCTACCATCGCCAGGTTGCAACCAAAGAAGTGGTAACGCCGACGTTCGATCGCCTGTGCAAGCAACAGGGCCTGGAGCTGGACCAGCACTACGCATTCAAGGTCTGCTCGCCGTCGCGGTGCTCGCTGATGAGTGGTCGACTGCCTGTGCACGTGAACACCGAGAACCTGGCCGCCAGCATCGTCAACACCAAGGATCCCGTGTCTGGAGCCATGGGGATTCCGCGAAACATGACCTGCATCGCGGAGAAGCTGAACCTGGCTGGGTACGAGAGCCACCAGGTGGGCAAATGGGATGCTGGGATGGCGACTCCGGACCACACACCCAAGGGACGCGGATTCAAAACGTCACTCGGCTACTTTCACCATGACAACGACTACTGGACCGAGGGCGTTATGGATCCGATTGAGTACTTCCCGGGTTGCCGTGGTGAACATACTGATCTGTGGGATACCGACCGGCCAGCCAAAACGCTGAACGGAACCGCGTACGAAGAGGAGTTGTTTGCCAACCGTGTCCTGAGCATCGTCAATGGTCACAACGCCAGCAACCCGTTGTTTCTCTACTATGCGCCGCACATTGCCCACACGCCGCTGCAGGTGCCGAAAGCCTACGAGGAGAAGTTCTCGTTCATCGAAAACACGCACCGCCGTATCTACCACGCCATGGTCAACTACCTGGACGACGTTCTAGCAAAGCTGGAGCAGGCACTGATCGCCAAGGGGATGTGGAGCAACACGCTGATGGTCGTCAGTAGCGACAACGGCGGTCCGGTATACCGCGGCGGTGGCGGCAACAACTACCCCCTCAAGGGCGGTAAGGCGTCCAACTTCCAGGGCGGCGTGCGCGTGAACGCGTTCGTCACCGGCGGATTCTTGCCGGAGAAGCGGCGCGGACAGGTGAGTGATGGCTACATCGCCCTGGCTGATTGGTACAAGACGTTCTGCGGTCTGGCCGGTGTCGATTGGCACGACGAGAAAGCCGAGAAGGCCAAACTGCCGCCGGTCGATGGATACGATGTGTGGCCGCTTTTGTCCGGTACGACTACCGTTTCGCCGCGCACCGAGATTCCTCTGAACCCGGGCCTGATCAGCGGCGACTTCAAGATCCTGGTGGACACGATGAGACAAGCAGGCTGGACTGGGCCTCAGTACCCCAATAACAGCCAGGTCGAGGGCATACATGCTGTACAGGAGTGCGGCTACAACGGATGCCTGTACAACATCAAGGAAGATCCGGAGGAACGCCACGACCTGGCTGCCAGCATGCCGGACAAGGCCAAGGAGATGCGACAGCGACTGGACACCTGGGACGACACATGGTTCCGGCCGGACCGCGGCGTGCTGCCATCCCTGGAAGCGTGCAAGCAGGTGAAGGCCAACGGAGGCTTCTTCGGACCATTCCTACCCTGATAGCATTGCCGTGATGTGAGTGTGGTGTTGCATTGCCCTGATGTGAGTGTGGTGTTGCATTGCCCTGATGTGAGTGTGGTGTTGCATTGCCCTGATGTGAGTGTGATGTGAGTGTGATGTGAGTGTGGTGTTGTGAGTGTGTTGTGAGTGTGTTGTGAGTGTGATGTGAGTGTGATGTGAGTGAGTTGTGAGTGTGGTGGTGTGAGTGTGATGTGAGTGTGATGTGAGTGTGGTGTTGCCTGAAGATTGGTCAAAGCCTCTTTTACATGTAAAGTGAACACAATGAAAAGCCTTGCTTATTTGAAAGAGTTGTTGTCAGAAGGTAGAATCCTTCCAACAGTACACAATTGACCAATGACACAAGTGCTGTAGCTCAAAGTAGGTGTTTCCACAATCTACCAAAGGCGAGTATGAACTACACAGTTGACCTAGTAATCTCGGATGCAAGATGTATAGGTTGTTTGTGCGTGTCACTGCTGACTCAGTGATGAGTGAATATTTAGGGTTGGTTCGCATACTGGAGATTTGTTACAGCTAGGTGTCAGGTCGTTGAATGTCTCAGTAGCTGGTCAGTTTTGGTGCCCTGTTATCTCACTTTCTGACAGCTTGTTATCTTGTTATAGTCTTTGGAGAGTTTCTTCATAACTCGCTTCCATGTTTTATCTTCTATAAGAATCAACTCGTAAAAACTCCAAGTCAATCTCCCATTGACACAAACCTCGTTTATTCAACATAATCATATCCTATCCAATAAAAACAGTTCATAAAAACAGCTTTTTAGGATCGGACCCAGTACGCATAACCAAGAGAGCTAGCTAGCTCCCTTGGCTGCTGTTGGAATATGCAAGAATGGGCCTTCCAGATAAGGTCTAACAAGGAGAAGTGGCTATACAGTCAACTTCGCTTATAACGACACTCGGCGGGGCATAAGAAAAATGTCGTTATTCACAAAGTGTCGTTATACCTGAAGTCTCATTATATGTATTACAGTTGGATGGGACTTTGCTCTGGGCATAGAAATTCTGTCGTTATTCGCGAATTGTCGTTATATCCGCAGTCGTTATTAGCGAAGTTGACTGTAGTTATGAAATGAACACCGGTAACCATGGAGACAGACCACACTCTCATTATAGATACTGGTTATAAATATACCGAATAAGGAAAATGATCTGATAGCCTATGCCCTATGAAGAGTTAAAGAAATTGAACCAATGACAACAAATACTCGTCCAGCACACGAGTTGTCATAGCAACACAAATAACAGCTGTCCACTAATTTTGTTGTTGGAAATTGAGTAGGAGTTTTTACTGGTTGATTCTAAATACTTAATTTTTACATTTTGTTATTGACTCAGTATCCGAGTTAACCTTATTTTTTATTTACCCTGCTTCCAATATTTTCAATTAAAATATTTTCAAGTGATAGCCGGAAAAAGAACTTGTGACCGCTGTAAAGTTGTTCAGTCTCTGTCCATGAAGGCGGCTGTAAACCGTTTTGCCCTCCATGACTGTAAGAAATATATTCATTCGAAACAAAAGAGCGCTCAATTGATAATAATTATGTTCTTCTTATCACCATGGTGCTTATATCCTCTCAGCCTTGGTATTTTTTAATTATAATCATTCCGAACCCAGATGGCGAGCCAAGGAAAGAAATTGGAACATGGAATAATGTGGGCACAAGCTTTTTTTTACTTGTGCCCACATGTGTCAATTAGGCCTTGGCGGATAATGCCGGCAGAAAAATTGGCAGAATTCGGTACTTTTTCTGGTAAGTTTCATGCATGTTTGGTATGTGGATAAAGAAATGGAGCAGAATTCGAGGAATTGCCCGCCATAAGGTTTGTATGGTTCTGCCAATTTCGGTGCAAAAAAAGCAGAATCTGCCACCTTTTCGAGCATTATCCGCCAAGGCCTAGTGTCAATTATAGTCCTTTCCAGACACGAATCCCTGAAGTGAAATCTGCGCCTTGACCTTTATTATTATTATTTTATTATTAATATAATTTTAATAGGGTGGCGGTATTCCTACGGATGAGGAAGAATCAGATGGACTGAATGTCGCGTGAACCATGCAAAGCCAGAAATGCTCGAATCCTATAGAGTTGCAGAGTGTCTTCTTGTGCAGAGAAAGGATGAGAGCAGAGCACTCTCGATCTGGTTGCAAGAAAAAAATGCAGTGGAATTTGTTTGGTATGCTTCTCGTGCATTCTGGGCAGTAGTTATGATCCAGTCAAGTGACAGTCAGTTGGTAAAATGTCGCGTGAGTTCATAACGATAGGATTAGTAAAGTGTTTACGAAGAATGCAATGCGGTTGCGATAAAGAAAGACTCCATGCTACCATACTGGCCATGACTGCATTGTATGTAGTCAGGTAATGTTGACCACCTGGGAATGATAATGGAATTCCACTGCAAGTTGATATACAATTGTATGCCAGTAAGCACTTTAACTTACTTGCTAACTTGCTCACCACTATAGCTAGGAGTACGATAGGATAAAATAGGCAAAATGTCGCGAGTTATGACTGACTCACGGTCCGCCAATTTAGTGCCATGTTGTCACATTAATAGCGACTGTAAATCATCTGGTTACACTGGTGGACCGTTACTCATAACTCGTGACATGTTGTCCCTGCTCTAGTTCTTCACGACTCGACTACAATTGGCTCTCCATTCGAGTTGTAAAGTTTTACCTTCACATCATAGATAGTGCTCATGTCATGGAACGATTCAGACCACGGACGCATGGTACTGTATGTGACGGCCGGTGTGCTCAGAACCCCCACTGGCCCCAGCGCTGAACCCTTTTGTCGCTGCCTTTTCTTGTCACCCGATGACACATGTCAATATGGATGACGTCAATGCTAAAATATCTCATGTGATCAAGTAAGTTAGTTAGAGTGCAGTCACATTGAACTCCAGCCTGTCCAGGTACGGACAGTACATACAATCCACCATAATAATATAATTATATTATTACACTCGACCCCCGTGAAGACCAACCTCGGGTACACGTAGTAACAACCACTAGAGAAAAGCGACACAATCTTCAAACCTAGTGTCGTAGTGACCATTTGACTGACAACGGCGAATAAGGACACTCTTCTCAGGCACGATCGAGGGTCGCTATTCAGTATTCACGCAATTGAATTCGAGTGATAGTGCTAATAACCAAACAATATGGCTGACATTACACGCTGTCTTATCACGAGCTGTCTTATCTTCAACTTTCTAAGATTAGAGAGTCTGAAATGCAAACTTAGTAAGTTCTGGCGCTCAGAAGCGCTCCTTTTCTCACCGTGAATGAGCTGCCATATTTGCCAGGTGTATTCGGTCCTTGTTAGTCTTCTGGAAGTGATTTTGGGAGTGTTCACGGGAAGTTAATCATTCTTCTTGTCCATACTGTATAAGTACAAATTTTCGTTTGAAATTAACTTTCGCCATATTCGTTAGGGGCACGAAATAACTAAAGTTTTTTTCTGAACGTTCGGGGTGACAGACCTTGACCAAAAACGAAATTTGGTATGTAACAAGCCTGCTGGTGGAACTAGGCCTTGACAGATTATGCTAGCATAATTTTTCGCATAATTCCTACCAAAATCGAATAATCGCATAATTCGAGGTAAATTGCATACGAATCGCATAAAATTGGACTAATCCGCCTGTTCGCATCAAATTCCGTACAGTTGTACATGTTCTACAAGTAGACGCACCAGGAAGGCGTAGGTTTACGACTCCCTTTATAACATGTCCAGTCCACTACAATCAGTGACCAGGGTGACGGTCATAGCTAGGTCGGACGGTGCGTTGACCCCGTTGAACTTTTGCTACTACAGTACAACGCCCTCTACAAAATTCACCTGTTATTTTGCACAGAACCATCATATACAAGCAGCATATGTGAGCAATGCCGCATAATATGATAACTTTTAGCATAAAAAAAGCACAATTCTGCAATTTTTTCAGCAATGCGAAAAGCACAATTTCACGAAAATATTAGCATAATCTGTCAAGGCCTAGGTGGAACGAACGTTTTCGTGAGCGAAAATTTGTACTTACACAGTACTACACCCAAGAACCCCATCACTGACAGTCGCGGCAGCTAGCCCTTGGCAAATTCTGCTCGAAAAGCAGTTGACAGAACCATGCACACTTTATGGCAGGTACATGTACATCCTGGAATTCTGCTCCATTTCTTTATCCACATACCAAACATGCATGAAACATAACAAAGTAAAAAACATTCAAAAATTTCTGCCGGTATTAAGCTAACCGCCAAAGGCTAGTGGCAGCTGGCAAGAGTTCTCAATGGACGAGAGTGCAAAGCCGTGTGTGAATAGACTCAGGAGGAGAGATTTTAGTCGCCTCTATCTGTGCCACACTCACAAACTCTGCGCGACCGTAGTGGTTTAGCGCTTCCTCCTAGTATCGGCGATCCGGCCTCTTTTACGGGCAAAAGAAACACAATGGATGAAAGGGCAGAGAGATTGGAAGCTGTGTAGCAACTCTGAGTTTCACCGTACATGTATTACTACCATCAGCAGGCAACTGATGTCTCCAAAACGGGTAGCCTGAACATAAGGGGGAGCAACGTGAGAAATTCTGGGGGTGGGGAGGGGGGGGGGGGGGGGATCATAGCGAACGAGTCAGGTGCAGGCGTGAAGAAAAATGCAAACCCGGAAAACCAGAAAAGGAAAATATGTAACCCAGAATCCAAAATAAAGTGTGATTAACACTATGTATGACTATGGCGTTATAGAGCACTGGCCACTGGGCAATTATTGGCTTCTCCACCCTTCCTCCCTTCCTTTACCCCACTGGGCCAGGATATATCAGCCACACAAGTATGTAGCCGCATTTCTGGTTCGCCATTGCACTGTTGGGCTGTAGGGTGCGACGGAGTTTAAGATGCTCGGCAGCCCCGCAAAGCTCCGCTGATGAAAATCCGCTTCTTGATGATAATCAATAATAGTTATTATAGTTTGCTTCTGGTGTTAGTACAAGTACAGAGGTTGCAATGTAAACAGTTTAAGACACGAACGTCAAAGGGTAGTATGCGATGTTTTTTTTTACATTACACATGCACTCTGAACGTGCCGATTCAGGAATGCCTCAACCTCGCCACTAACAAGCAACTCTGGTTAACGATCATTGACAGATGCATGACCCCCGTATGATTTGTTTATGCGGGCAATATGCGACCTGTTCATATCATCAAGAGTCCATAACCCCCCAGAGTGTGCAACTCGTGATCCTTCTCAGCACAAATCAGTGCCGCAACGAAATCCAAACTTCATACGTCATGTAGTGAGTAGCGGATGTACCAGATATGCACATGGCCCCATCCGCCCATGCTTGACTATGGACCGGATGACGCAATGTTTGGATTTCGTTGCGCCAGACCCCAACCTGGAGTTGCACACTCTGGGGGGTTATGGACTCTTGATATCATTTATATGCAGCGTGATATCATCATCTGTCTTCCACCTGCTATCAGAGAGCACATTTCGTACTCCTGGACGTCAGTTGCCAGACGTGCTTACACTGTAAAGCACCCCTTCGGCGGAATTGTTAGCGGAGCTCTCCTTGCTTACCGAAAACACACTGATTATGCTAAACGGGAAATGTTAGCCTAGCTGCTTTCTATTCTGCGCGCTCAGCTCCATATTTCCCTTATCCTTTTTTTTAACTCCATGCACTCCATGCATCTGCACACAATTAAAGCTACATGTACATGTAGTTGTTGTCGTTGCAATACTAAGGGGAAGA